GGTTCGAGAAAAAGAGAAAGCAAATGGGACAAAATATCAAGGGAGAGAGCATTCTTTACTCTCCCCTCAACTTGTAAGGACATTTTTCAAAATAAAGTTGGGGGGAAAAACTCACATTCTGATGAGTCAAACATGAGGCCTACTGGACAAGACGGCCTCTTTCATCTGGCCTGAGAGCCTGGAGCCTGACGTCTGAAGCTGACTGCACCCTTCGTGGCTTACAGAGCTAGAGGTAAGTTCTTTGTTGGACACAGTCACAACAGACTCTTGGGTCTTGCAGTGTGGCATGAGGCCACAGTGACCCCTAGAGGCACTCTGCACTCAGGGGCTGACCAGCCCCTAGGCCATGACGGCATGTTCGGGAACACTAAAGAGAAGTCCATTCACCACATCCCCACTGCACACCCCAAATTACACAGGCTCCACACTGAGGTCCAGTTCCTGCACTTGGTCTTCTCCAGTGACCTGCGGGTTGGTCCCTGGAGGTGAGGCTGGACTGAGAGGTGGGGTGTGGAGGCAGGCAGGAGCAGGAGTTCCGGGACAGATGAGAGGCCCCCTTGACCACTTCCAGCAGAATGAACTGAAGGATCAAGGGGGAAGGCGGAGTGTGCCCAGGACAGGTAAGGGCACACTGGGGAGGCTGTGCAGGAGTGAGCAGGGACAGCTTCAGGGACGGGCTGCTGATGTAAGTGACACTTACATGCTCCCAGGGATGAGACAGAGAGCACAGGTGACGGCAGCACTCGGTCATTCCGAGAGTGGGGCTGCTCCGGGCTGAGCCCAGCCCTGCAGGCGTGCTCCCTCAAGATCACACTGTCTCTCCTCTGTGTGCTTCAGAGGCCTGGAGGAGGGGCAGAGGTTTGCAGTTGTTTGAAGGTCAAGGTACAAGGCAGAAATGCTAGCCCGCAGTAAGGAGCTGGCACACCCATCCTACCTCTGCCGCATACAACACTGGTCAAATATTCTCAATCCGGAGACCAAAGAGCCTGGAGTCTATAATAAAGATGTCCCTGGGGGTGGGGACATTAGGGAGTGCTCCTCACCTACAGATGGGGTTGCTGGCAGCAGAGCCCGTGCAGACGGCTGTTCTTCCACAGCAGCCTCCCCCTTGGCCAGGGTACTCCCCTGAGCATCAGCGGACAGAAGGCGGAGGCCCAGACCCAGCCTGACAACTCAGCAGACCCCAAGGAGGGACCAAGAGGATGGTTCCTTGCTAAGGTGGGTAATATGAGCTTATTTGGTCAGAGGGGACAGACCTGGTGCTGGGAGTGGCTTACGGATCTCCTGCAGCTGCGTCCAAATAATCAGCAGGCCTACCAGGGGAGTCCCACCTTCTCTGCCCCGCATGCCTCCTACCTCTGTGAGTTACTTCTTTGGAAAGGTGAAGCCTGGACAAAACACTTAAGCTCCCTAAGCCTTAATTTCCTCGTGTGTAAAATGTGGACAGTGGGATTTACCTCGGAGAGTTACTGAAAGATAACATGTGTAAAGTATCGATCTGATCCAGGGGAAAATTCTAAGCTCTATCTAGTATTCACATTTCAGTTTGTTTTGGAGGGACTCTTAATGGACGTGTTCAGACAATTCAAGCTTCACTCCTGTAGACCAACACAACTTCTCCATGTTAAAATGAAGACTGGGAGACTGCATTTTTCGTTATAAGCATTTCTACTTTTCACAATGACCAGGTAGCACTTTTCATACTAAAAACCTAAGGCGCCTAAATTTACTGATCTAAAAATCAAGATTCTCCACCATCTAGGCGGAGGGTTAGGAGGGAGAAGAGCATGGGAAGGAAGTCCAAGGCTGAAGGAAATTCAGGCTGGAACAAGAGCACAGTGCCAGACGTGGGGGAAGAAGATGGGGGCTCACCTCCAGAGATGCATGCTAAGCGCCCGGGACTTCTCCCACAGAGCCGCCCCCTCATGCCGAGAGAAGCACCGCACTGGGAGGCCCCACCATCACCTCTCCAGTGAGGAGAGAAACTAACAGATTTTGTGGTCACAGTGACATTTTGGCTCTTCATCCCTGAGAAGAGAGGACTGGCATAAGCTAATGGCAAACAGTGTGATAAAACACACTGGATTCGTCAGGCTACTGTGTTCTGACCCTCCCAACTTCTTTGTTTTTTGCCCAAATAAAGGAGAACAAGGTCAATCACTACCATCTTACCTTTAGCTTAAAGCTTTGCATTTCTGTTAGAGACAAACACACAAAACACCACAAAAACTGTTCTCGTAATACCACACGGAACAGCACTGATAGGACACATTTAGACGCTCCTGTGCCCTATTTTAAGGTATTTTGCGGCCTATACTTATGGTAGTCCCTGAAAGGATTCCATGTAAACCCAAATCTAGAGATCTGGCTCAGAAAAACAGCCGTCGTTTCCCCTAGAGATAATTAGAATGGTCTCTGAGCCTTTGGCCCAAAGCACCCCCTGTCGTCTCCTGCCCAGGTAGACAAGCAGGCACAAAGGGAACAAATCATGAGCTGGCGACTCTGTGGGCACAGACCCTCGTTAGGTCGCTTAATCTCTGGAACAAATTGCTCACCTGGAAAGCAAAGAACGTATCAATTTGGTACCATTTGGTCACTAAAAGAACTGCATCCCTGGAGGCAAGTAGGGGCTCTGACAGACTCCAAAAAAACAATGCCCCCTAACTTTCAAATATCTGTGATTATTTCTTCCCAAAGAGCTAAGGAGGGTTTAAGTCAGAGGATTCAAGATTTGGTTCGATGGCAGACAAGCAATCTCTTAGCAAGCAGGCCCAGGATCACCAATCCCCATGTGTATATATATATTTCTGAGTCAAAAGCCTCTGTGTGAGGATTATTTGAACCTACCTCACGCTGTCCTTTCTTCTCTGCCCCACATGCCTCCTACCTCTGTGAGTTACTTCTTTGGAAAGGTGAAGCCTGGACAAAACACTTAAGCTCCCTAAAACTTAATTTCCTCGTGTGTAAAATGAGGACAGTGGGATTTACCTCGGAGAGTCGCTGAAAGATAATACATGTAAAGCACTGAGCTTAGTACACAGAACATACTAAGCGCACAGAAAACGTAGCCGAGTGCTTCTGTATGACACCCGTGGAGGACCAGCAGGTCCGTGAGAAGAAGAAACAAATCTATGCCACTATAACACACGTGGACAGGACAGCGCACAGAGGATGTCTGAAAGCCACCTCAAAGAGCAACTCGGGTCCTAGAGAAAGAAAACACACAACACTGGACTTGAAGAAAGCTGAGCAGATACATCACACACAGTGCGTGACCTGGAGGCACAAAAACAAAATGCGTTCACGTGCTAACATCCAGAGGGACACAAAAACAATGTCATCTTGTGGTCAGAGTCCTGTGAACCTGACACGAGATCAGCACACAACCTGCAGACCTCACAGTTTCCTTAATTAGTTCCCACATCAAACAAAATACTGATCTCTCATCTTTTGGATCTTTTATCTCTGGAGAGAAATTTAGTCTTAAGTTTAGGATTTCATAATTTCTTTAAAGCCAAGCCACGAAAATACATTAGCCTGGAGAGGACACACCTGCTTCATTAGAGATGCTCTGGCACGTCTTCTGAGATGGCAACTAAGGTGGCTTTCTCTCCAGGATTCCTGACTGCTCCTTAGCTTTGAGTTCTTCTAGTTTCTTCTTATAGCGGTTCATGAAGTAATCATCTGGTTCAATCCCTGCGTTCTTCAAATTTTCCATGACCTTTTCCAGTCTAGATACTGATCGGGCTCCCTCAATCTTTCTCGTGCTCAGGTACAGGGTGAACTCCTGGAAATCCAGGAGTTTACAGGTGTCCACAGAGCAGATATTCCTGATACCGCTAGTTCTATCCAAATGAGGAAAAAATACCAGTCCTGATAACTTCTCCAGGTCCTGAAGACTCACTTGGAATTCACCTAACTGGCGTTGGAAGCCAATGGCCTCATTGGGCACCACGAAGGCCCCTAGTGCCAGTGGTTCAGCAGACACTGGGCTTCTGCGAGCCAGGATCACCTTATAAAGGTGCGAGGGGACCGCCACATTATCCTCACCGATCACCTAAAAACAAAGCAGTCATGTGAGCAATGCTAACTTGTGCTAGCAGTTCCCAAATTTTTCCTGAAAAGATTTTTAATGCATTTCTGAAAAGGCATTTGTAAGCTACCTTACCAACGGATTTAAATTCAACTGCCAAAGGTAAGAATAAACCAAAATTGAGATGCGCAGAGAAGATGAGCATCTAACAGGTCGATTCTGATCACATTCTTTAAAATAATGTCATCCCAAAGAGTAGAGGTCACATCCTCTGCTCTGTTTGTAGGACAAAGGGCAAAGGAATGTCATGAGTGAGTCCTGGGTTTTTAACGGGCAAGAAAAGCTGTCATTTTTCTCTTCATCACATAATCAGAACTTCTGGTGCTCTCTAAACATCCAAAGGTCAAAACCCAGCTTGGCAACTCCCGGCTCTAGAAATAAAAATATGGCTTTAGTTTATCAAATTCACTAGGGAGCTCAACAAATAGCCCTCAGAAAAGCAGCCAGACGCACCACGTCGGTATTACTATCTCCAGTTACGCCTTGACTGTGGCTCATTTTTAAAATTCAACTAAGTAAATGTAAATGCCGTTAGCTCAGAGTTTTGCACACTCTTGGGCCTATTATCAAACACAGAACTTCAGAATGTCATCAAACCAAGCACTATAGAAAGGTATCCATACAACAGAAGAGCCAGAGCCAGGGTCAGGCCTGCAAACAACTTGGTTGCCTATGTAGGTTTGCTCTAATAATGAAATAACATTATTATGGAGCCTTTTCAAATTTCCTTCCAACTGGCTTAAAAGCCATATCCGTTTTCTGAAAAAGGAAAACTGAACATCCATTTCCTTAATGGCCTCCAATAAAATGATACGATCCAACTACAATATGCAAGTGTACTACTGGCCCTCCCAGGTCCTTCCTTTGTACAAGTAGGCATTTTGCTCCTGATCAAAGCTGCTTGCTACAGGAGCCCCTGCTGGGAGCCCAGCTAAGGCAGAGGGATGAGAGCTACAAGGATTCTTTTCTGGTTTCCTCTAGCTTCTACCTACATGGCACACAGCCTGAAAATGCCATGGCTATCTGCTGTCTGGCACGCACAGAGGTTCCACTGCCAAGACCAACGGCAGGGCTACAGGGAAGCCCCATCTACAGGATCGCTTTCTGCAACTACTGTCTCTGGAGTTAGTGAAAGTGGCTGATCAGGGTTCACTTTAAAGTTTATGAAAGTACACAATCTATAGGCACAAAACCCTACACCCCTCCAACGTATCATTTATGAAGCTGAGGAAATGAACGTACTCTTCAAGGCAAAAACCATACTGAAGGTGAACTCTACAGAGATCCACAATGAGCCTACACATCACCAAACAGATGTCAACTCCCAGAGCAACTCAGAGGCGCTATGGCTGCTGCTGCCGGAAACACAGAAAGGGGCAAGCTTTACAATGAATGCAGCTGGTGTCTGTTTTCAAGAAGCTTCCCATCTAGAGGAAGAGTCAACCCCACTGCTTTCACCAGAGGCAAAATGTGGTCAGATGCCAATACGGAGCACAAACAGCACTAAGGGAGTGGCGGCTAGGGAAGCCAGGGACCGGAACTGAGGGCACAGCTGCAGCTGAGCCATAGTTCACAAGGGCAGAAGTTTAAATGGGCTTCAAGTGTTAGCTGGGGAGCCAACAGTGAAGCAAACCCTTGATGCCACCTGGTGGACATTCTCCACCACTGCAGCACAGCCTCAGACCAGCTATGAGGCGCCTTCGAGCCCATTCGCTTGATGGTATTCTCTCTCCATGGACTCTTTGTCTACAAACAAATAGCAAATTTCAAGAATGATTAAATGGTCATGCCCATCTAGTGCCAACCAGGGCTTCTAACCAGAGTCTTTAAATTCCAGCCAAAAGTAAAGAAGTTTGACGTTTTAGGATTTATAAAAATAAACCATTTCTATTGGGTTTTCAAAAACACACAATAGCCAGAGGACCTCCAATACTACTATTAAGAATCCTCATGGACACAAAAATTCCTACTAAGAACCACATCATGTGATTATTTCACCCATGACCTTCTCACAATATGTCAACAAGGAGGGGCAAAATACTACCCCTAGAAATAAAGAGAAAAATGAAAACTTAGTCACTATCTTCTCTGATTTAGTCTGCTTTGTTCTTAGGAAGTAAACATCTGTAACCTGTTTAAAATAGGAACCAGCAACATTTGGAAATTCTGAAAATCCACTCTTTCTTCCTTGAATTTAAGACTTTTAAAAAAATCGTAAAATATTTTAGAGCTATCATCTTTGTAGACAACTCAACCTACACAATAAAATTATCCCAATTCTGGGAAAACTGGAAGTCTTTCACAAAATGTTTGTAGAAACTGCTAGGGACCGAAACCCCAGGGACTTGGTCAAGTCCTGGCTTCGCCACTAGGCTGCAAGTCATGTCCACTGGTACCTTCTTTCCCCCTTCATAAAATAAGTAGTAACTGTCTTCATGCTGCCCATCCCACAGAATGGTTATGAAGATACAAAGATACGTTACTTCAAAAAAAAAAAAGTTTCAAAATCTGCAAGACCTATGTAAAAAGTAATTTTTGTAGTGGAGGTCATTCAAAAGATCAGATGTAATTTCATTTGGTACAAAAAACAGTTCTGCTGAGGGACTGTGGGGAAATATGGGATCGAGCAAGATTAGATCAGTTAAAGGTGAACAATAGGGTTTCAGAAGGAAGCAGGATGGACACAAATGAGACCCTCGACAAAAGGCTCGGGGCTTAACATGACCTAAGTCTTCAGTAACAGTAAATCAGCACAAATCCTTGTCGTAGAAGATTTAGGTGTAAAAATACCCTACAAAGGACACCCTCACTGCTGTTAAACCAAAGAGCATGGAACTCTTGTCAAGACTGTAGCAAAAACTAGAAATCAATTGGGTGTGACTAGGAAACAAAACATAGACAACAGCCATAAAGCTGGCACTCACTCGCGACCTAAAGTTACGTTTTTGTACCTGCTGGCCTGAGGTGTCCTTCCGTCCAAGAGACAGAAACGACAATTTGCTCTCGCTGCCCCAGCTCCACACACACACAACTGGAGTGCCAGAAGAGACAGGCAATACACAATACTCGGGCTAAGGCTGCCATTTGTCAGGTCACAAACATACACCTACTGGGCCTTAAATAAAATTAAGCAGCAGCATGAAGAAAACACAGGTACCTAGTAGAATCAGTAGATATAAGATATCTGGTTACATTCCCCTGGTAAGACAAAAAAAGAAAATCTAAAAGTCAATCTGTTAGACCCATCAAGAGACCAAGCCCTTAAAAAATCAAGACAATTGGGGTGCCTGGGTGGTCAGTCGCTTGAAGGTCTGACTCTTGATCTCGGCCCAAGTCATGATCCCAGGTTCGTGGGATGGAGCCCTGTGATGGGCTGCACACTAAGTGTGAAGCCTGCTTGAGATTCTCCCTCTCTCTCCCTCTCTCTCCCTCTCTCTCTCTCTCTCCCCCCCCCGCCCGCCCCCACTCTGCCCCCTTCCCTGCTCACACTCTCTAAAATAAAATAAAATAAATTAAATAAATAAAATAAAATAAAATAAAATAAAAATATAATTAAAAAGTCAAGCCAATCAAGTGAAAGAAAGAAACCATGTCAGTGTGATAAATAGGGACTCCATACCTTTGAGGACAGAGGAAGAAGGAAAGGAGGGAGTCAGAACATGTGGCAAAATCAACAGGCAGACAGCCAACCCTTGTGTTAGTGTTAAGCCCGTGCAGGAGCTCGGGCAGCAGCACAAAGCCCGGGAGACAGTGCCGCGCAGGCTGGGCACCTGTTCCGGGTAAGGATGGGGAACCGCCAAGTCTCAGTCCAACCAGCACCACCTTCCCACTGTCCATTCTACTTGGGAGATTTAGGGTGGGAGGAAGGAGATACTTCACCAGTAAAATAATTTATTTTTGAATTAAAACAGATACGGACATGAATGAAAGCTCTGCCTAAAGATCAAACAGGAAATTCAAAAGAAAAAAAGAATCACTCCCTGATCACTTCAGGTGATGCCTCAAGATTCCTGAAAGCAGGTTTCCCCTTTCCTCCCCCTCTAGGAATCGGTTTGGAATGAGTCTGGAAAGTAATGCTGTAGAATAAAACGCGGACTGTTGAGTACTTCTAACATCACCACCACCACCACCGAGGTGACAAATTGGAAGCTCACTTTCTTGTCAGGTCAACTATAATGTCCAGGCCAGAATCTTCAGGTATGTTTCACTTGTCTGGAATCAATCTCTTCTTGAAACAGGCACATCAGAGAAAGCACATGGATGACCTCAGCTATAATAAAGGGGGTGATTCTGATTAGAGCTGTCAGATGACTCACTTCTGATAAAATCACTGCGACTAATCCTCCCTTGGGCCCACATTCACTCAAGTCCTATGACGCTCTGATCCTTTCCTGCATATTCTAACAGACATTTCCGCCTGGCTAGCAGGGATCCTCCCCTTGGCCCATTTTCTGTTATTTTTGCATGCTAGCAGATATCACTTGCAACTGCTCTCCATTTTCACCATCTTTTACCTCCTGGCCTTAAGCTGCTGTGCAGGAAGAGCACAGCAGTCCCTTGACTGTAGACTTTTGAGAGCTTCAAAGAACAATGCTATGAATGACTGGCAGTTCTCATACACGTAGGCAGACCCATGTTTGGATCTCCCCTTTGACAACTACTAGCTATGTGACTTGGACTTGACCCCTTAAAACCTCAATTCCCTTGCCTATAAAAAAAGACAACCACTACTTCCTTGTAAGAACTGCTTATGAGGACTGAATGAGATAGAAGGTCTAAAACTGCTTATATACCGTGTAGTAGGTCCGGCCCTCAATTAATACTAGTTCATTTGCTTCACTTCCTGTACAGTATACACATACATGCCTCATTGCCTAGAAAGAAAACTAAATAAACACCATTTTTATTAGCTATATGCTCCTAAAATAAGGTTCAGAACATAGTTGTAAACAAGCAATATTAAA